ATTATATTGCATGGTATTTCTCTTTCCACTATGAATTTTGCGCTGAAAGTATGTTAGAAAGCTATATTAAAAATATTATGAAAGGCATTTAATGTCAAGCAACATACTCCGCGCGATGCTAATCTGAAAACGCGCAGATATTAAGCAAATAGCTCAAAATTCCAATTGTGTAAAAATGCGTGTACGCAACTTAAGGAAAGTTAAAAAATGCTTTATACACATTTACGCATAATTCTTAGAACTCATCAGTTATAAATATATAATTTTGTGAGTAAACGTGTACATCAAAGCAAGTTGCAACGTTTCACATTCCGGCATCGTTTACAATTCGGTACACACTGTGCAAGCAGCAATAATAAATTAAAATTGTATTAAAATAACATTTACGTGGGAAGCTACACGCATGTAAAACATCATTATCCAATAATTGACAAAGCAAAAAAGCAAACACAGCAATTTAGAGTGTATCTGAGAAAGTTTTCAACGTCAGCACGCAAGCATAACACCAGGTCTTTACATTGAGTATCTGCCAACACTAATGCCTGCTTCATCCCTACAATTGCGAGCAGACGTTGCTCATTCATGTGTCACTTTCGTTATATCGAAGAATGCAAATTTTGTATGTATTTTTAGGCTTCGAAAAGTAAAAAACCAAAAAAAAAAAAAATAAAATAAAAATAAGAATAAAAAAACAACGTTAACTTCAATAGCACCGAAATTTCAGTACAAATAAAAAGGGTTTCCAACTAGCTCTACTTTAGACGTTCAGTATATATGGAAGCTGTGTAATGTATGAGTAGTATAGCAGTAATAATCTAAGCAATTTTGTCAATAATTTTACTAATGTTTTAACAAAGAATTGTAATTTCATTTAGGTCAAATTTAGTTAAGATACCTCATAAAATAAAAAATAAAAATTTACAAAAGCATTATTTTGCCGTTTCAAATGAGCAGCTTTTTGAGGAGAAAAAGTTGTGTGCAAAATTTCAGAACAATACTTCAGAAACTTAGTTAGAGGGCAGACAGACGGAATTTGCCGAATCGTTGACCCATATATATTCTTTAAGTATTCTTCGTAGATCAAACGTTAATACTTGCTTTACATGTTCTGAATACGTGAAAGATTAGGTTGTCAAAAAATTCTTGCGGTATTTTCGTTAGTTGGCGCTGAGAGCGCGTAGTTCTAGTTTTATTCGTCGCATCGGGTCATGCTATGTATACCTTTTAGGAAGGCTCATTTCCGATACCGTTTCCATTTCCACCGCACAACGATGGTTTCAACGTTTTCGGTCTGGTGTAGAGGTGGTCGAAGTTGCGCCACGCTCCGGAAGGCCTGTCGTCGAAAATTGCGATAAAATCGCTGAGTTGGTCGAAAGAGAAAGGCATAGTAGCAGCCGTAGTATCGGTAAAGAGCTGGGTATGAGTAAGAAATACCGCAAGACTTTTTGACAACCTAATATATACCACATAATACAAATACTGAAAGTATTATTATATGTTATTATATGATTGCCATTTGAAACACCCTATTGCGAAGATATGTGTGTATCTATATGATAATTAAAGCTGCACTCCCACACACATATAACAAAAGTGTATATGCATATACCAAATAGAATATAGAATACAAATCAACTGACACATCAATGACACTACTAGCTGAATTTTGGTTAACTCTAACTTTCAAAAGGCGCGTGTATAAATTTGACAGCTGTCGGAATTATATCACTTTGAGTGAAGCAACTTTTGTTATTGTGAAAAAAATGAATAAAAAGTAATTTCGTTCGTTGATAAAATTAGAGTTGAAACAACATTTGCTTTGATGACGAGTTTCTAGACACTACCACAAGAAAATTAAAGATCAAGGATTGGTATCGTAAGCTTATGAGTAGAAGTGGTGAAATGAGCACACAAAACTGGTGAACGTATTGGGCGCCCAAAAGTGGTTGCTACCGACGAAATCATCAAAAATGTCGACAAACTAATTTCAGACGAACGTAAAGTGTAGTTTTTTACAGATAGCAGGCTCTCTAAAGATATTAACATTATTATCGGTTATTATTATTTACGGTTTGAGATAGCTTT